GGGTCCCCGCGGAGGCCCGCCCTCACCGGCCGCCTCGCGCTTCTCTGCCCGCAGCCCGTCGGAGCCTTGCTGCTGGAGCGCTGCAGAGTCACCCAGGAGGAGCCCAGCGGCTTCTCCATCAGTGAGTGCCGGCCCCGGACCTGCCCCTCCCGGGCCCTGCCGCCGCGTCTGTCTGTGCGGAGGCAAAGTCCACTGCCCCGGGCGGCCGGAGGGCGGACCGGGCTCTTCCCCCGGGGCGTAACCACTTGTTAGCTGCAGCCGCAGGGGCCCTAGGACTTTCTCTCTTGTTGGGGAGCACTGCACTGTTCCAGTGCCCGGCCGGGTTCTGGGCGCTGCGGAGGATTCTCCGGGTCGTCTTGGGAGCGTCAGTAGTGGAAGGTGGAGTCTGTGCTGGTTTTCTGGTGTGGCGCTCAAACGAGAGAAATGTGTGCTCCCTTAGTCCAGGAGAGCAGAAGTCCGACAACAGGGTGTCTGCAGGGGTGGTTCCTTGCCAGGGAAACTTTCCCAGGCGGTCCTGGCTCCCTACGGTCGCCAGCAGCCCGAGGTGCCCCTTGCCTTTGTAGAATCAATCCTGCATTCTCCATGTGCGTGTGGCTCATCCTTTGCGTGTTTGTGTTCAGAATTCCCCTTTTTACAAGGACGCTAGTGGCATTGGGTTTGGTACCCAACTCTTTCCAGATTGATTAAGTAATTACACTTGTAATTGTCCTGACTCCAAATAGGGTCGTATTTTCAGGTTCTAGGGGTTAGGACTTGAATGTTCTGTTCTGAGGACACAATTCAATCCACAGCACAGCTGGTGGGAAGCGACGAATCTGGGCTGGGACTGGAGGAGGGGACACTTTAGGACAGAGGCAAGAGGAAGCTGAGGCCTGTGGTGGGCTCTGGGGCGGGGGTGCGGTGAGCAGGAACAGACGGGGGGCTGCTCCCTCTGCAGGCTTCATGGAGGACCCGGAGAGGAAGTATCACTTTGAGTGCTGCAGTGAGGAGCAATGTCAGGAGTGGATGGGGGCTCTGCGGCGAGCCAGGTGGGGTGTGGGCCTGCCTGGGGGGTCTGGGGCGGGGGCACAGCAGGGCTCTGTGAGCATATGCCACTTTCTCCCTCAGCTACGAGTTCATGCGGAGAAGCCTCATATTCTACAGGAATGAGATCCAGAAGATGACTGGCAAGGTGCACAGAGGGCCCAGGGGAGCCGGGGGTGGGGACAGGGGCATGGGCTCCTGGGGCCTGGGCTCATGCTGCCCGTTCACCCACACAGGACCCCCTGGAGCAGTTCGGCATATCGGAGGAGGCCAGGTTCCAGCTGGGTGGCTTGAAGGCCTGAGTCTGGAACACCCCCCCCCCGCCCCAATCCTCTCCAGGCCCTGGGTTTCCTGGTCAAGTCTGGATTTGCTGCAGCAGATGTTTGGCTTAAAGACTTCAAAAACCCAAGATGGGTGGGGGTGGGCAGGGGCAGGTTGGAGAAACAACCCACTGACCCCCCCCCCCGGACTGGTCTGGCACCTACTGGTGCCCCATGCTGCTACCGGGGGACAAACGTTCACTCCTAGAAGTTGTGTCCAGCCCCTTGGGCACATCCGTCTGGGGTCTGACGGCTCCTGAGGCTGGTGTAGCTCTCCTGGCCTGTGCAGGCTGAATGTACAAAGCTAGACGATGCTGTGAAGGGCGTGGGGGACACACCTGCTGGAGCCACTGTGAATTCTACTCCTGCTGATGGGGCAGGCCCTGGCCAGGCGCCTCTGGGTGGAGCTGGAAGTCTTCACTCTCAGGCCAGCGTGCTTGTTGTATTCAAATAAAGGGACCTCTTTTCCATGTGGGATGGTGCTGCCGTGAATGCAGGGAGGGGCTGCTGACCCCAGGTGGTTGGAGCTGGCTCCCGAGGCAGGGCAGTGAGGCCTCTGGGACGGCAGTCCTCCCCAGGTTGGGGGTTTAAGTGCCCAGGAACAGGGCCGGGCTGCCCCAGTAGAGGGACAAAGACCTAGAACCAGACCAGGCAGAGGCGGGGAGGCTGGGACTTTGCTTGGCCCATAGAGCCTGTGGTGCTAACAGGCCCCAAGGGACAATGGAAGGATGGTGTGACTGAACCTGAAGGTGACCTGTGATCCCAGTTCCTAGGCCTTCCCTTGAGTACAGGCAGGACCTTGGAAAGGGTTTTTGCCAGTATTAGAGCCCTGAGTCTATCCATCTTAAAAACAGGAGGCATCTGGGTGGGCCTTGCCTAATCAGGTGTAAGCACGGGAGGGACTGGGCCTCCCTGAGGAGGGTGTTTGCTGTCTGCCAGGGTCACGGGGCTGCCTTAAGGAGCTTACCAGGCCTCTGCTGGGAGCCCCTGTCCTCCCCACTTAAGGAATGGTGAGTGTGACCCCTGTCTCTGACACCTCTCCCTCACATCATCATCAGAAAGAAACGCTGCCACCAGATGAGGTTCAAGTGAAAACAAGTATTTTATTACAGCGCCTAGAAGTGGAAATGCAGAGTGCATTGGGGTTCTCTTAGGAAAAGAGGGTCAAGCCAGCAGCCCAGGGAGGGACAGGCCATGCCAGCACCCCCAACTGAAACACAGTCTACCAAAAACACAAAGCAAAGCCCCGTCTGAGTTACAAATCAAGGTCGAGAGATGTGGGAAACAAACCAGTGTGTGTGGCTGGACCATGGGAATGAGGGCAGGCGGGGCGAGTAAAGAGGGGCACGTGAGCCTTAGATAAATCACGGTCCGTAGCTGCAGGAGACGGCAAGCTGTCGGGAGGGCCGTGTTCACTGTTAGGTTTTCCTGAGCAGAGCCACCTGTGGCCTACCAGACTTCCCTGAAGTTGCCCGCGGTCGGCAGTAGCCCCGGGGCTCTGTGCACCGGCGTGCTGCCTCCCCTCCTGCTAGGGATGGCCCAGCCACCATGGGGTGACCCCAAACACACCTGCGCTCATACCGGGAGACTCAGTATGGCACATCCGCAGGAAGCCCCATGTCAGTGACCGTGCGGGCCCCCCTGAAGTGATGCAATGTGTGTGAACAGGGTCGCTCTGTTCTACGCTGGGGACTCATACATGACCTCTCCGCTGTCCACCCACCCTGTAGCTTTTTAGGGAGCCCTGTGCACCTGACAAGGGTGTGTGTGCGTGTGGCCAGGCAAACACTGCCCTGTCCTGGGGGCCAGGGCTTGAGGTTCACAGGGGTGAGGCACAGCACCTTCATGCCCCGGGAGCGCCAACCCAGAGGGAAGGAGCCAGGGCAGCCAGTTTTCAAGAAGGATGGGCCAATTTCAAGAACCCATCGCAAGCACCATCTTCTGCCTCAACTATTGCTCTGGGCTAGGGGCATCACCCCCAGGGCAAGCAGGAAAGCAGGGCTCTGGCAGGCCCTTGCCTGTGGAAACCAGGGGTCCAGCCAACTTCCAGAACAGCCAACGGCCAGACCCGTCCTGCACAGATTGGTCTGCCTCCAGGAGGCGGCTGCAGGCAGAAAAGGGTCCTGCGGTGGCCATCTCTGGCCTGCACTGCCTCAAGGCCTCTGCCTGCCCACCGGAAGAGTGGAGGCAGGAGCTCAGGGCCTCTACTTGAGCAACAGGCTAAACACAGCCCACCTTTGGAAAGAGGCAAGTTCCCTGTGTTCCTTGGGGGATGCAAGCACCTGAGGACAGGGCTCTGACCTCACCGACTCAGCCCTTCCTAGAGCACCCATCTCAGGGTCCAGATCCCTCTGCCAGGACCTTGGCTGATGTTGGCCCTTTCGGAGGGCTGGGGACTTCTGGACGCACCCTTTGAAGACCGCATACATACACAACACTGGCCGACTGCTACCCTGGAGGGGCTGGAGAGCCCTACTGGCAACCTCTAGGCGCCTCTGAACAGCTCCAGCTTTGCCCCCCCCCCCCCCCCCCCCCGCGCATTCACTGACAAGCACCATCAGAGCTGCTCCAGGGTGGGGGCGGCACAGCCGCAGCAACCGCACAGACTGGCCAGAGGGGCTTGGGCGGGGTGCGGGGCCTGTCCACTCCAGCCTGGGGGGCCGCGGTCACGCAGTCCGGGGCTAAGGGCCGGCCCTGGGCCCATGCCACTGTGCGCACTTGAATAAATAGAAAGGTTCTCCCCTCACTTTTCTTCTTTAGTTTACTATGCATTATACAATCTAAAAATAAATGAAGTCAAGTCTATGAAATTTATAAATTTTCATCACATCTCTATAAAATACTGTCACTCCTCAGTGTGACTCTCCTCTGTACAGACATGCCAGGCACCCGTGACTAACCTGCCCCACGTCACTGGCCCATGTGCCGCGAGCTTACTACGCGCTTTGGTGGACCGCGGCAGGAGCCCCGGACGAGCAGAAACGTATGAAAGTAAATGCACTTGCACCAGCCCGCCACGCCGTCGGGAGTCGGGTACCAGGCCTTCCTCAAGCACCACTCAGAACGGGTCTGCGCAGGATCGGGGAGGGTCTGACCGCCCCACGCCCGCCGACCGTTCCTATGCCAAAGGCGCTAATCCCAGGCCGAAGGGCCAACAGTCCGGTAGGAGCCGTTCACAGTGATGGGGCGGGGGCAGGCACCCCCCCGGGGAGAGGGCCTCTTCCGAGGAATGTCACGACAGCGCGAGCCACCCTCCACCTGGAGACAGCCGTGCCTTTGGTATAGGAAGAGCGGCGAGAATAAATAGGGCAGGCGCCTCACGGCCCGGTTCTGGCGTTGGTCAACCTCCAGTCAGCACCAAGAGGACGAGGCAGCAGCGAGGCCCGCGTCGAGATAGCACCGGGGCCGGCGGTCAGCGCGTCCGCGGGCAGGCCAGTCGTTCGGGTGGACGTCTGCATATAGATCCTCTCATATATAGTATTTACACTTCTCAATAGGTTGCCTTTACGACTTCGGTGGAGTAAAATAAGTCAGAGTTGTTTATACTTTTTAAAAAACGATAAATACTTTATCTAAAACTATCGACAGTACGAGCTAGAGCCAGGCCCCAGCACCTCCTGCAGGTCTGCACAGCGCGGATTCACAGTAGAGCCTCGTCCCCCGTCCTCAGTCCGTCCTCGCTGTCCGATGGCCGGCCGCCAGCCCAGCCCGTCCTTGCATAGGTCTCACGGTTGAGGTAGAAATCCTAGTTCCCTGCAGAGACACGCGCGGGAGGAAAGGCAGCACAGATTCAGCGTCTCTCTCGGGGGGGGCCCAAACATTCCCCCAGGCCAGGGAACCAAAGCCTCCTACAGACGGATGGACGGTCGGACAGACAGAACAGGGTCGCTGCAGGCCCCGCCTCTCCTGGCAGGGACCCCCGGCGCTGTGCCCCTGGTCCGCTTGGAGGCAGCAGGTCCCCGTCCTCCCCTCCCCCCCAGGAGCCTTGGCACCGAGGCCGCCCCCCGCCCCGGCCGCATGCCAGGCCCTGCTCGCAGGCCAGCCCAGGGAAACCGCCCGTGACAGCCACGGGGCAGAGGAACAGAAGGCGGTGGTCCCCTGTGGGCCAGGACCAGGAGCCTGATGCCCAGATGCTTCCGCACGCACACCTCGGACCTCTTCAAAGCCGGTCCCGGCCGCATAACGCCTTCTCTGATGGCGTGAGGCCCCCGCGCGCACGCACACGCAACCTGCTCTACCTCCTGGGCTTTTCCAACAGGACTGTGGCACAGCCTGTCCCCAGACCTGCACCCTGACTGGGAGGCCGTTAGACTGCGGCGGCCCCACACCTGTTTCCACTGAAACACGCGGCAGACGGAGGACGGGCCGGCCCCAGCGCCCTGTTAGCGCCCAGCTTCCTTTCCTCGAGTCCTTGCCCCCAGGCACGCCAAGCAGCATCAGCAAGTGGCCAGGCCGGCTGTACCAGGGCCCGGCTCCCTAACGCCGACACGTGGCTCGTGGAGGCCTCACGATGACCTTCCTCACCCGCTTCCGAATACAGGCCCTTCCTACACTCCCCTGCACGACTCCACGCTGACCGCCCCGAGGCACGGGCCGTGTTCCCGGGAGCGGCAGGAGCTATGCTGTGGCCACCACGGCAAAGCGCTGCCCCCGGCCGAGGCAGCCGTTCCCCTGCAGGCGGCGCCGCGCTGCCCCGGGCCTGCAGGCAGAGGCCTCTAGCTCCAGAGCCCGAGGCACGAGCACCGAGTTTGACGACCCTCTACGCGTTGCCTTTTCTTAAAGCCCTAAGGGTGCATTCAGGGAGACAGACTGTGGGAGGCCCTAGAGCAGACAGACAGCAAGGCTGAGCCCTGAGCTGCCCCGGGGGCCCCGGTCCCTGGCCGCTGTAGACACAAAGCCTGAGGATGACAATGGCGGGCTCCATCCAGCTAGACGGGCCGGGCCGGGCTGCCGGCCTCAGCCACCTCCTCCCGGCCACCTCCCGCTGGGCAGGGGCCCATGGGGGCTTGCCGTAAAGGGCTGCGCCGGGCAGTGAGAGCAGGCCACCCCCTGGAGCTCCGTGGTGGCTGCTCGGCCGCCCCGGAGGCCAGAACACACAGCCAGCCCTGCCTAGCCACCCGGTTTCCCTCGCCTCGCTATGCTCTATCTTCCCTTGCACCTCTCAGAACCAACCGTCTCCACCCGAGGCAGAATAGCCTGGGTCCCCTGGGCCCCTCCTCGGAGCCCTGCGGGCCCGTCCACTCTCTGTGGAAGGAAGGACAGATAGTTCAGGGTCTCGTACGGGCCCCCTGGTTGGGCTCTAGCCTTACCTTACAGAATACGAACTGCTAGCTAAGCAAGGTCTTTATCTTGGCTTAACCCCCGCAAGGCGCGCGGCATACGGAGGCGGCATGCCAAGGGAAACCCACACGGCAGACGGCCCCGTGGAGCTGGCCTGCGGGATCACGGGCGCGGCCTGGGCCAGGGCCAGCCCGGGCAGGGGCTGGTGGTGCACCGTGAAGGAGGGGCGGGGGGCCTTGTGCGGGAGGGAGGCGAGCTTGATGGACAGAGAGGCGTTAGCAGGCTGCAGAGAGGCGGCAGAGGAGGTGGATAAGAAAGCCTGGTTAGCCGGGAGGGACGCGAGGTTCTGCAGAAGCACGGGCTCAGAGTTAGCCGGGAGCAGCGCGGGGGCAGGAGGCAAGGCGGCGTTAGGGGGAGGGGGTGCAGGGAGGGCGGGCTGCCCCGGTGGGGGCGGGGGCGGGGCCTGAAAGGAAGACGCGGGGGCGCCGGCCACCGCCTGCAGTGGGGTTAAGCTCAGCGTGGCGCTGCGACACGCAGCCCCGCTGCCGAAACTGGCTCCAAACGGATGAGCGGAGGCGGAAGGCACCGCGTGGTTAAAGACACCTGCAAACAGGAGAGAAAAACTCAGCTTCAACAGGTGGGCACTCTCCAGTCAAGCGCAGAGAGACACAACAACAGGGAAGCAGACAGCGGCCACAGGTCCGCGTGCGTCGCAGGGGTGGGGGGGGGGCGAAGCAGCAAGCAGCACGGCGGCCAGGTGCGACTTACCTGCAGGGCAGTGCCGGGCCACACCCCCTGCGGGCACACCCACCCGGGCTCCCGGCCCCGAGACAGGGCCTTGCCTGCCTGTGCCCAGCAAGGAGCTGGCTGCGGACTTCTGGGACCCCAAGGCGGGCCCGGCCCGGCCCGGCCATGTGGCTCCTCTCCACCCCTACACGGTGCCACCACACAGCAGGCGCTGTGGCCCCTCGCTCTTGCCCAGCACCAGCCCCCAAGGCTGCCCAGAACCCATGGGCTGTGTCGGGTCGGACAGGTGACCTCCACGGGGAGGAGACAGAACCCTAGTCATGGCGCCAGCCCTCCTGAAGGTACAAGGGACGCCGTCACAACCAGAGGGCCTGACGCAGGCCGACTCACGCGTGAGTGCTCTGCCCACACCACAGGCACATCTGCATCTCATGAAAAGGAACGAGGTGGCAGGTGCAAAGTGGACCCCAAGGGACAGGTGGGCACAGCCTCTCGCCCCTTAGGGGGCCCTGCAAGGGAACCTGTAAAGCAGTTGTCATTAGCCCAGCGGTCCGGGAGGGCGACGGCGTGCGGCCCGCAGGACCCGAGAGTCAGACGGGAAAGACGCGCGTCTGCCTACCTCCAACTGCGCCACCTGCCACCCCGGAGGAAAAGCTGCCCATGGCGTGCGAGTTGGTCAGTCTGGTTGCAGCGGACGAGACGTGCACCAGGCCGGCAGCGGCCGGCACGGAACTGAACAAGGACTGTAGCACGGATGAGCCCAGGTTGGCCTGCAGGGACATGGGACCCAGGGCGAACTGTGGGCCGGGGGCAAAGGTGCCCAGGAAGGGGCGGTGTGTCTGGGCGGAGGGGGCCGCGCTGACCGCCGAGGACGCCGCCGTGGCGAGGCCCGGGCCGCTGAGGAGGCCCCCGGGAGGCACAGTGGCGGCAGAAATGAAGAGGTTGTGGCCATTCTTCAAGTCGGGCTCGCGGTCCCGGCCCTTGCCCGGCTTGCTGTGCACCAGCGAGGCCTTGTCCGGGGGCCCGCACGCCGGCAGGCCCAGCTCGCCGGCCTCCCTGCCCTTGGGGCCGCCCAGTCCGTCCAGCTGCCTCTTGTTCACAAAGGCGCCGGGCTCTGCGGCACCGCCCTCCTTGCCCCGCGGGGCAGGGAAGCTCAGGGGGGCGCCCAGGCTGGCCGCCTCGGGGACCTTGTGGGAGAGAGAAGCACCATCGCTGAAGCTGTGTAAACTGAGGTCGGTGGCCAGGCCCCCGCTGAAGGCGAAGCCGTTGGGAGGGTTGCTGCTGGGGCTCAGCCCACCGGCCCCCGACAGGGCACCAGAAAAGCTTTTCCTGGGGTGGGCAGCCAGCTTGGCATCAGCCAAGCCGGGCTCCTCTAACGGGGGCCGGAAAGTGAACAGGGAGTTCTGGCTCAGGGTGGAGCCAGCCTGCAGCGGGCTGTCGGCGCACTTGGCCAGGCCGAGGTCGGAAATGGGCGAGAAGGTGGATTTCCACTTGCTGCTGTTGGCGGGCTCGCTGGCAGGGGTCGGCTTCCTCCCGGCCAGGCCACCACCTGATGAGAAGCAGAGCCGGTGAGGCCCAGGGGCTCAGAGTCACCCCGTTCCGCCCAAGGGAAGTGTGCTACGGTAGAGCGAGGGTGGGACGGGATAGGGAGATGGTGACTGGAGCATCTGTGGGGGGTGGGGGGTGGGGGGTGGGGCAGGCATACAGAGAGTGTCAGATGCTGGCCCGGTTCGACCAGGAGGGGATGGGACGGCTTGCCCGATGGTACCGAGACCAGCCATCATGGGGACACGGGTTGGCATTCAACATCACCCAGAGACAATTTTAGAAGCCTGGCGCGGCTGGTCCTGAGTGTCAAGGCCACACCCTGGGGCCTGGGAGTTACAGGGCAGGGTGCACAGCTACTCACCGCTTTCCAAGGTTTTTGGAGGAGATTTGCTTTCTAAGGAGATTGTTGCAATTTTTCTCTCGATTCTATCAAGAAAAAAATAGATGACAAATGTTTGAAATGCATTTGCACGTGGACTGCCCAGGGATGTGGGGAAGCAGCCTGACACATGGCCTGCCCGCCCACAGACCTCTCTAGAGCCCGAACCCCTGGTGCTGAGCTGGGTACTGCCAGAAGCAGGGGACAGGGCCGAGAGCTCGGGAACAGGGGTGTCACATCCTAACACAGAGACACCCCAAGTCCCAGATGGGGCCGCCTTTGTTTCACCTCGCCTCCCAGGTTCTTTGTCAGACCCCAGAGGCTTGCTGTGGCTACAGGCACGTCGGCGACGGCGTGGGACCTACATGACCTGTAGCGCGCGGCGCACGATGGCAGGTCGGTGCTCGCAGCACTGCCAAACCGCACACAACACACGCTCCACCATCCATACTCCCACAGCACGTGGAAGAACACCGTGACCTCCAGAAGCGTAAGAAAACTGCCCTAGAGAATTTGGAAACTGCGAAGTTGGACATTCCCAACACAAAAGAAAAGCACTCAAGTGCAAAACTTTTAAAAACGTAATCTACGTAAGCAGAAGAGAAACAGGATGAACGGGCCCCGACAAGGCACCAGGAGCACAGGCCATGAACGAGAACAAACACGGAACTGGACCAAAATCTAACACTGTAATCTTTCAAAGACACCTGCAAGAACGTGACACGAAAAATCAGAAAATGGAAGAGAATGTTCGCGAGTCAGATGTCAGGTAAAAGACCCCTGCCTAGAACATACAAGGAACTCTCAGAACTCAACGACAAAGGACCTGAGCACACGTCTCTCCCCAGACACTCCAACGGCCGTCTGCGCACGAGAAGACGCCCCACACCACTGGCCAGAGCGGCGGAGCCCACAACTACAGCGAGACCCCACCTCACACCCACGGGAATGGCTCTCACAATAAAAAACAAAACCAGACCATAGCAGGTGTCCACAAGAATGGGGAAAACCCGGCTCCCTAACACTGACAGGGGGTGGGGGGGCACGCAAGGTGGGGGCACACGCAAGGTGGGGGG